AAGCCAGCCCGGACATCCGCCTACTCCTGCCTGCCTCTAGGGTCACAGGACGTGGAGAGACGCAGGGCACAGAAGGTGGATTCTAGAGCCAGGCAGACGGGGCTCCAGGCTTGCCCTGTCACTTATTAGCTATGTGACCCAGGCTTCTGCTCCGTTGAGTTCAAGGTTACCTCCAGCGGAAACTGGGCCTTCCCTCTCCTGCCCCAAGGGCTGCTGGAGGCCGCAACCTCCAGGGCAGGTACTGTCTGGCTAAACAGTGCCCCATGTTTGCCACGAGCCCTACTACCTGAATGTGAGTCCACAGAAATGCAGTCAGCAAAGGACTGAGGTCAGATCAGCCTGCAGATGCAGCTCAGCTCAGCTCAGTTCGGGTTGGGGAAACCCTGCCGTTGCTCTGGTGACGGGGCCCCCCCTGGTACAAATGTGCAGCTCTCCTCAGGAAACGGAAACCGCACCCCTCGCAGTGTGTGTGCTGGGGGACTGACATGGACCCCACAACTGGGCTGGAAGCCAGCTCCGGGATGCCCGAGGCTTGGGGCCAGGGGCCTGGAGGGGAGGAAAGCCCAAGGCTAGCAGAGGCAGGAACTCAGAGAGGCCTGGGAAGGCCGCGGAGGCGGAGTGTAAAAGCTTGTTGCCTGCACCCTGAAGCATTCTCCTCTGGCTGCACTGCTAGAAACTTCAGCTGCTGGCTGCCACCCAGGCCCATCTGGAGGAGAGCCCCTATCCAAGGAGACATGGCTCAAGGGAGGGGCCTCCAAGCCTCTGGGAAAGCGGTCTCAGCTCAGAGAGCAGTTTCTGTGTGCCTCGTGTGAGCCAACATCTCGGCAGACGGAGGTGGAAAGCAAGCTGTGTACAGAATTAGATGTTTGGATTGCAGCTCAAAGGGCTGAGTCCGTCGGAGGCCAGCAGCCCCTCCTCTGGGGACTCAGAGGCCAGGAGTTGAGCGCACACCTGCTGACTCTGCCCAGCTCTCAGAGGCCCTCAAAGACAAGCCACACCCAACTTCTCAGTGCGCCAGGCTGTACTCTGCACCGTTCTAGATCCCCGTGAGGCCCCGTGGTCCCCAACTCCAGGCTCCTCTCTTCTGAAATGGGACATGCATCTGGAGGAGGAAGGCAGCACCAGGCCCCAGGGAGCCCCTGGTCCTGGCTCCGGCCCAGCCCCCTAGAACCTCAGGCAGCAGGCTCCTCTCTGGCCTCGGTCCTCCCTCTATAAAAGGAGGCCAACAACCCTCACTTCTTCCCCGGCAGATCCATAGTTGACCTGGGAGGAGGCTTTCTGAGCTCTCACCAAGGGTTTTCACAGCCGCGCTCCCTGGCTGCAGAGTTTCCTCCGTCCCTCCTCCTGTATCATCTTGGCGTGGAGACCAGACCGACAAACAGGGCCTATTCAGCCAGGACCCCTGGGGTGCTCCAGAAATCCACTCAGGGTGAGCATTGGGCAGTGCTGTGCTCTGAGGCCACCCTCTGCCTGCCCTGGTAGCCTGTGACCCTTGCAGTCCCTTCCTTCCCCTTTGGGCTCAAGATAGTCCAGGAGCAGGAGGACCCCCACCCTCCTGAGAACTGCATGGGGCAGGCTCCCCCAGATCACACAGGGTGTGGGCTCTGCCACACAACTGCAGGGTCCTGGAGTGGGGACCAGAAAGGTCCCCAAGTTCAAACCCCCACACTGCAATTCCTGGCTCAGGACCTCAGGTGGGCTACGCAAATTGTCCCTGCCTCCCTTTCTTGCCTTCTCTGAGATGGGACCTTGTGAGGGTTTTGCGGGCTACTGGAAGATCACGTAAAAGAAATTCACCCAGGTTCCTGTGGAACAGTAAGTGTCCCATCCTCGGTATATGTTCCTTTGGCATATTTGAAACTAGTTATGCAGAGAAACTGCAGATCTCTGCAGACACACGACAGGCTCTACATATCTGTCCTTTTATTAAAAAAAAAAAAAAATGAAGTTGGCATCTGTTCACATCAGTGGAAAAAAAAAAAACCCAAAAAAAACCAGCAGATGCAGGTGTTTCTACCTGACATCCCTTCTGCTGAGGGATGATTTTGCTGCAGTTTTGGTTTCTTTTTGGTGCTGGGGCCTGAAGCCAGAGTCTGCACTGAGCTACGCCCCCAGCCCTTGTCATGTGAAACAGGGTCTTGCTTAGTCTTCAGACTGCCCACCTGGGCTTGCTCTTTCCGTGCCTCCTGCCTCAGCCTCCGGGAGTGCTGGGATCTCAGGTGCGCAGCACCATGCAGCCAGCGAGATCTTTTCAGAGAAGTCTGGGGCCTGACAGCTGGCCTGGATAGACGGGATCAAGGGGGGGGGGGGTGCTGAGGAGACTGCACCACGAAACAAGACCACTGTCGTTCACTGGGCGGAGAAATCCCAGCCTGCAGTGGACAGGAGGTTCTGGCGCCTGGCCCCTCTTCCTACCTGGCTTTCTAACAGACAAGTCTGCATGCTCACCCCTGCTCATCTCTGTAACGTCAGCTCACCACACAGATTATAGTTCTAGACTTTCAGGAAGGTGTCTATTTAGCTGCAGCACACCCCTGCGCCTCAGGAGCATGCAGAGGGCCAGAATTCCAGCAGCCGCGCCCCGCTCCCAGGACCACACGGCGTCCTTCTATGCCAGCCCTCTTCACTTGTTTTCCTTGCGGATCATCTGCCCTCACCTCCTGCCTCCAGCACACACCGCAGGGCCCTGTCCTCCCCAGCCCGCCCTGCCATGCCCTCTGCTGCACTTTTTTTTTTTTCTTTGTTTGGAGGCAGGGCCTTGTTTTGTAGCTCAGGCTGGCCTCAAGCTCTCGGCAATCGTCCTGCCTCAGCCTCCTGAGTGCTGATCCATTTTCTATCCTGTGATTGAGGATCTTGACCATGCTTCTCAAACCTGGGGACTTTTTCAAAATCACCAAAGGCCAACTCAGAAATGGGCACAACGGTTCTGGGGTGAGGCTTGGGCACTGGTAATTTCTACAAGTTTTCTTGGGTGATTGGGATGCACATCATCAAGGTAGCCGAGTGCCAATGCTCTCTGTGGGGTTCAAATCCCACCTCCTCCGGGAAGCCATGAGCAATGACTTTCTCCCTGCTTGGGATCCTTCAGTGCTCGCCGCCTTCCCTTGTGTGGGTTTGGTGAACATGGTGGATGTGCCTTTCCTCCTTAGGTGGAGGCTGCCTGGTTCCTGGGCTGGCGGTGTCATGGCTATCCGTAGCTCAGGAAGTTGTAGATTGTGGATGTTAACGCTCACTCTGTCCCTATCAGCTAAAAGCCCAGTTGGCTCCCCTCCCCTTCAGGTGGAAAAACCAGTTTTGTATCTAATTGCATATTCCTTTCAATATAAACCTGCTTCTCCTTTCAGCTGGTTATTAGCATGTGTCTGGTCTAGTCATTGATTAATTAGAATAAAATCTGTATATATCATTTTTATATCTGTGTGCCGTGATAGTAACTTTTTTCAAAAATTACTGCCTAATTACTGCATATGCTTCTATGCTGCGCCAATTGAGAGGGTACAGCCTTGCCCCTGGCAAAGGCAGGTGGCCTAAAAGATTGTTGGATGGTATCTTTTACTGTGTGCTTGTGAAAATGTCCTTAATGATACACTGAAAAGTCATAAAAGAAAAAAAAAAGGAACCATCAAGCTTGCTTACTCGGGGCCGGGGAGATGGCTCAGTAGAATAAGCGCTTGCCTGGCAAGCACAAGGGCTTGAGTTCAATCCCAGATTCTGCAAAAACAAACAAACAAAAAGCTTGCTTACTCCCCATCGTACAGTCAGGACAGAGAAGGATTTAAGAAGTTAGCTGGGGGGCCGGGGAGATGGCTCAGTAGAATAAGCGCTTCCCTGGCAAGTGCAAGGGCCTGAGTTCAATCCCCAGTTCCGCAAAAGATTAAAAAAAAAAACCTCTTAAAATTTGTTAAAAAAAAAAAAAAAAAGAAGAAGAAGAAGAAGAAGAAGAAGTTAGCTGGGTGTGGTGGTGCAAGCCTGTAATCCCAGCCCTTGGGAGGCTCAGGCTGGAGGACTGCGGAGAGTTTTGAGACCAGCCTGGGTTACAAAGCAAGTTCAAGGCCAACCTGCATCACATACCAAGACTCTGTGTTTCAAAACAAAAAAGGGTAACTTGCCCAACTCCATAAATAAAGTTACTGATTAACGTGAGATGAATTTTTCAATCGATACTTATTGAGCAGGGTGTGGGATTGATTATGCCTGTGATCGAAGCATTCCAGGAGGATGAGGTAGGAGGATCACAAAGTCAAGCCCCACAAAGGCAATTTAGCAATACCTCCTCTCAAAATTACAGCTTGAAAGGGATGGGGATGTGGCTCAGTGTGAAAGCCTGTGGTGTGACGCCCAGTACCAGCAAGGGACAAAAACCCCCGAGTAAAGGAGGCTCACTGGTAGGAACTGGAGGTAGGGGAGGACACGCAGACCAAGACTGGCCCCAAGGTGGCTGCCTCTACAGCAGCTAGAATCCTCTTTGGCCCCCACGTCCCATCAGTCACAAAAGACAAAAAAGCTGCCTGTCCCATGATAAGCAAAAGTGTACTTCAGACATCTGATGGGAAGAGCCCAGCACCCCTGCCTTCCTGCGCCCTGAAGACCATCCTCAGCACGTTGGGGCCTGGCCACGCTGCTTCAGAGCCCCTCGGCCTGGGATATCTGCGGGCTGGGGTGCAGCTCAGTGGCTCAAGCTCGCTGGCCCATTTCAGGTCCTTTCCCATTTCTGGTGGTTTCCCTGAACAAAGGCCCCAGGTGCAGCCACCTCCCTCAGGAGCCCAGGCCCATGGAGCAGGGCGATGACAGGGAGTGCCAGCCCTGGCCCTGGGCTCAGGACACTCTGGGTTTCTTAGAGTGCAGTGCCTTTCCTATCCTGATCTAGGCCTCTGATCCCGGACTAGGGAGCATCTGGGAGGTCACCCGATGCCCCAGCACTGGGAAGGGTCTGCCCCGTGTGAATGCCAGCTCAGGTTACTTTCGAGGCAAGAGGAGGCACAGTGTTGGGTGTCCCAGGGGAGTCTGCAGCCTGAAGGTGCAACTTAGTAGCTGAGCAGCCCCGGGCAGGTCTTCCCTGCAGTCTGGTGCAAAGTGAGACTCACTCCAGAGAGTGGCAGTGAGGGCGAAATGAGCAAGAGGAAGCTGCCTCAGCGCTTCTGAGTATTACCACTGCTTTGGCGGCCACAGCTGCAAAGTGCTAAGGGCCCCTGACGCCCCCTCCCAGCGTTCAGCTGGCACCTGGTGGGCTGGAAGGGCTCACGAGGATAACTGCGGCTACTATTTTGTGGTTATTACTTAAGGAGCCGCAGGACACATGTTTCACAGAAGAGGAGCCTGAGGCCAGGTCGCTTGTGCTCTTGAGCACCACACCCTTCACCCTTCTGAGATGGTGGCTATGTGGCAGTTTCGTATTTGTCACTCCACTGTCTCATGAAATTGTCAGTGTCTACCAGTGTCATCCTCCTTCAGTGGACAAGTGATCTGAGGTTTAAAGAACCCACAAAGCTAGGCATGGTGGTTCACAGCTGTAATCCCAGCACCCTGGGAGGCTGAAGAAGGTGTGTAAATTCAAGCCCAGTCAGAGTATCCTAACAAAACACTGTTTTAGAAAAAAAATAATCAAGACTGGAAAAGTCCTGGGTTCAATCCTAGGATCACACAAAAACCAAAACCACAGTCATTCATTCTAGTCAGTCTCTACGAGGGCTTTTCAAACCCAGAAGGAAACTGGGAACTGCTTCCAGGCATAGTGACACCCCAACACACTTCCTGGGGGGGGTCTCACAGGAATCAATGCAGACCACATCCTGTGCTCTGTCCCCGCCCCGGAAGTGTCCTGGACAGAACCGCTAGAATGGGATGGCAAGAAGGGCCACCCAGACCCAACCCACTTTACCAGCTGGGTGCTCTGTGCGCAGGTTCAGCCCCTGGGGAGGGCGCAACTGAGGCCCTCAGCGGTGAGCTCCGCAGTGCAGTCCTCCCAGCGGGAACCCAGCCAGCACCGCAGCGCCCACCCTACAGGACTGTGATCCTGTCCAGAGCCCGGCGCCGCACTCCCCGCGGCCTCTCCCCCTCCTCCCTTGCTCAGTCCACAGCTGTCCCTTACCCAGAAACTGCAGCGACGTTGTTTCCCAGCGCAAGGTACCTTGGGGACAAAGGCAGAGAGCAAAGGAAGGCAAATGAGTGACCCGCACAGCTGCAGAGGGGGATGGCGCCTCGCCTCCCTCCTGTCCTACCCGGCCCCACCCAGCTCCCAGAACCCTACACTGAAGGCAGGCTGGCGCTGGGTCAGCAGGCATAGCGGGAACTGACGGCCACTCCGTACTTTCTGTGGGTTCCAAGGACCCAGAGAGACACAGGATTTGTCCAAGGACTCTGGCCCATCTGGAACTGTAGCCCCACTTCTCACCAAGTCCTGGCCACTGTCCTCTGCATGGCCAGCTACAGGTGGGGTCTGTGGGCACTGGAAGTGTGGCAGACACTCTGAAGTGGCTAAGCAGGCACAGGCTCCCCTTCTCCAGCTCAGAACTAAACCTGGGCTTCTGCACGGAGCTAATGCTGCACCTTTGCCTTTCTTTCTATCTGGAGAAAGGGTCTCCCAGAATCGCTAAATTATTCGTGCTGGGCTTGAACTTGTGACCCTCCAGTCCCAACATCCACACGTGCTGGGACTACAGGTGTGTGCCCCAAGCCACGCCTAGAGGCAGTGCCCAGTATAAGTGAGGGGAAGGTCGGCTGGAGGGAAAGGGCAGAAAGCAGTCTTCTCAGGAGCCCCAGTTATTTGCCCAAATTTGGACTTGTCGGGAAGACCCACCAGAACTCAGACAGAAGGGGAGGGAGGAAGTGGTGTCCAGCCCAGTCTCTCCCAGGGACTCTTTCCCTTGCTTTCCCTTTCCAGGGCCTACAAGCATTGGCCCGGGAACTCCAAATCTTCAATCAAGAGTCCAAACCTGCAATGGGTCCTGGCAGTTTATCTACCATTGTTTTTTCTGAAAGGGGCCAGGGCTTATAGAGGGGGTGGGCTCAAGGTCACAGCGCTAGTCCTTGGAGGAGCTGGGATTTGAATCCAGGGTATCCTCCCTCCCCGCGCCCCCGTGCTAGCATTCTGGGAGGAATCTTAAATTCCCAAATCTTGGGAGGGCATAGATTGCGCTTGGAACAGTCTAGAAGGGTGGAGCCCTGGAAAGCTACAAGAGCCCTTGCAAGGTGGTGTGGTGGCCCACGCCTGTGATACCAGCTACTGGGAAGGCTGCGGCAGGAGGCTCAACTGGGCAATTTAGCGTGACCCTACCTCAAAATAAAATATAAACGAGGGCTGGTAGTGCAGCACTTGGCTGTCGGGCGTGGCGAGTTCAACCCCCAGTCCCTAGCGGCGTTGGAGGACCCCTCCGTCCTCTTTCACAGCGAGCAGTAACCCCAAGGGGGTGGGCGTCCCAGCACCGCCAGAAGAGGCTAGGACCGCCCTTCACCTTCCCCACGCAGACGGCCTCCCCCGCAAACCCTGCGGGTGCCGCGGGACTCCCTCCCCAAGCTCAGTCTGCAGAGCTCCTTCTGCTACCAGCCTCGGCCGTATTTCCCTCGAGGGTCGCTGATCCCCGGTTTCCATTCTCTCCAGCCCCCGGGAACAGGGTCAGCAGCCAGGGTCACACCCTCCGCAGAACCCGGCTCACCCTCCGCCCCGCACCCGGCCCGCCGGCGACCCCTCAGGTGGCTGCGCCCTGCACCCGGCGGACGCCTCCAAGCTCGCCCTCCCCGGGCCGGCGGAGATGCGATCGATCGCAGACGCCCGGGCGCCTTGCAGGTCCCCGGGGCCCTCGGGCCGCAGCCCACTCACCGCGCGCAGGCCTCTCGCGGGGCGGGCGAACGCAGCTGCTGGTCCGAGCCCGTTAGTCCTGCGGAGCCGCAGGGGCGGGTGCTCCGAGCCGGCCACGTGGCGCCCCGGGGCCAATCAGGCTCGCCCGCCTCCCCGCCCCGCCCCCGGGCTCATCGGGTTGGGAGTCTTCGAGCGTCCGCAGCTCGGCGGGGGCGGGGGCCCCAGAGCCTGGAGCTGCGGCCGCTCTCTCCCGCAGACCCGCGATCTGGAGGGGTGGGTTGGGGGTTGCCCGAGGTGCCGGGCCTCCCAGGGCTCCTGACTCCCAGATCTGTATACTTAACCCCCGAGTCGTGCGACTCACCCAGGCTTGGTTGAGAAACAGAACACTGAACTTTGCCAAAAATCGAGGCCAAGAAAGCGCCTTATCTGCCTGGTCAGATTTCATGCCTCAACAGCCTGGTCGGTCACTGGCATTATTTATCCTCTTTCCAGGGAAAGAGAGCCCACAGGAGACAGCCTTGTCCAGGGTCGCAGGCGATGAGGTTGTGGTGATGGGATTCGAACCCGTGCGAAGTGGGCGCTTGCTCCGGCTGGCTCTGGGGACTGCGCTGCTATGGGGAGGGGCAGACGACAAGACCTGGAGTTGTAATCCAGGGCTGTGCTGGGAAACAACAAATTCTTTGGGAATCCAGGGGGGAGAGAGACTCTTTGTCCCCCTCCCCAGGGAACTTTGTTCTTCCGGAGGAGGCAGAACTGAGTCAAAGGTGGGAGGCCCTGCACCTCTTGCCCCCTCGGAGGGCCTGGGTCGGTGGAAAGACGTCCAGCTTGAACCCTGGGCTTCCCGCCCAGCCGCTGTCTGCACAAGGCGAACGAACGCTCACTAGCTGACTTCGTTGGCTCCTCCGAGGAGCAGGGACGCTCGAAGCGTTTCCGGAGCATCACCCTCAGAGCCTGCGGTGCACTGGGTCGCGGATCTGCAAGCTTGTAGCAGGGAGATCTGGTTGGAAAATCTGCCCTGGCCTTTTGTGGCACCACAGCCGTCACTGAGCACGCCAGGCTTCGAGGAGGGGGAACCCCCTGCCCTGCCCTCATGGGGCTGCGACTCTGAGCAGAGGCTTCCACCGTGTGGAGGAGCTGGGGGGGGGGTTGGGCCCACGGCGGCCGGACGGTGCACCCAGCCGACTCGGCCTCTGAATGAGCCTCCTGGCCCCGGGATGTGGCCGAAGCTGCAGACCGGGCTCGGAGAGGCGAGCCCTGAGCACGGGCCGGGTGTGCGCGCGGCTGGCGAGGGGCCGCTGCTGGGGCCGGCGCTCTGGGCCGCCTCTGGGCGGCGCTGGCACTCAGACTCGGGTCACTGGAGTGCCGTGAGGGAGGCTGCAAGGCCCTGCCTCCGCTCCGCGCTGGGGACTGCACCCAGAGCGTGCCCACCGGCCACCTCCATCACCAGCAGTGCCTCCGAGTCGCAACCAACGAGAAGAGCGGACTGCAGCTGAGAGCAGGAGACTAGTGTCAGCCTCATACGGCTCTGCTGCGGGGCAGAGCAACAGCTTCGGAGCCCATAGGTGGGGGGAGCCGGGGCCGGAGGCGGGGTCTCCCTGGGCATCAGGACAGCACTGCCGGTCAGCGAGGGTTTTCTGTGAGCCGGGTACTTCTGCAAGCACTTTACCTGCAATGTCACATTTAGTCTTGTCATGCATTCATAAATACTCGCCAGGCACGATTTTTATTTTTATTTTTATTTTTTTTGCGGAACCAGGGATTGAACTCAGGCCCTTGCGCTTGCCAGGTATTTTTATCTTTTTGAGACAAGGCCTCACTATGCAGTTCAGGCTAGTCTGAGCTCCCTCTGTAGCCCAGGCTGGCCTCGAACTCACAGGGATCCTCCTGCCTCAGCCTCCCCAGGCATGCGCCACCACTCTGCCACCGGGCACAATTTTAACAGAGCTCTCTCCCCTGGTGGAGTCTGTGTTCCAGCACCACATGCTCCGAGCGGAGAGAAGAGCTGGGCAAAAGCCTTGTGGGGGAGGGGAGCACCCTTGGACAAGGGGCAGACTCAGGGCCAGGTGTGACTGGAGCCGGACAGAAACCTCAGAGGAGGGAGGCGCAGGAGCAGAGGCATGGGGCCCTGCGCCCTTGTGGGGACTTCGTCCTTCACTCAGAGTTATTGGGGGGCTACACAGGGGTCGAGCAAAAGAGGGAGATAAGTGCTCACTGCGCCTGCCCAGTTCCAAAGCGCCAGCACAGCCGCGACAGGAAACCCACACCTTGGAGGCTGGGACCGCCCGGCGCCGCTCCTCCAGCCCGGCGGCACCTGTTCGGTCCTGTCTGTCTGGATTCGGCCTCCTTCAATAGCTCCTGTCGTGGACGGGCTCGGCTCGGGGCCTCTTCCGACCGGTCTTTCTCTTGGCTTGGTCTCGAAGTTCACCACCCCGTAGCACCGGGCAGGACTCCGTTCGTTTTTGTGGCGGAGAAGTAGTCTGTTGTGTGAATACACATTCTCTTTGTCTGTGGCTCATTTCTATTTTCCTGCCGCTGCGAACTTCTGGAAAGTAAGTGTTTTTGGTTCTCTTTGGCTCTCTGGGATTAAAGCTGGTACGGCCATATGGTCATTCTATGTCTAACTTTTATTTTTCCATTGTAGGGGATTGGAACAGAACCCGGACTCTACCTGCTAGACTCACGAAGAGGGCGGGGCAGCCTGTACCCTTCACTTTGGGAGGAGGACACACCGAGGTGTTCAGCGTGGCCACGCAGCTGATCCTCCGGTCAGGGTTCTGATTTCTCCACATGGTTGCCAACGTGTTTCATTTAAAGATTCAATCTCCACTGAGCTTCATTTTAAAAATTGCTGTCCTAAACAACAAGAAAGCTATCATAGTCATTATGAAATGGTGTCTAATTGTGTTTTGATTACCTACTGACCAAGGATGGGGCATCTCTTTACCTATGCTTTCTGCCCTTCGCAGCTTCTTTTGGAGAAATGTTTACTCAATTCCTTTCCTTTGTCTTTATTTATCTTTTGTGGATGGCTCAGCCCACCTGGGGGGTGGGGCTGGTGTGGCATGTGGTGCTGGCCATTGAACTGTGCTCCCTGCACTTTGCCTAAACTTGCCTAAGCAGGCATTTTAAATTTTATTTTATTTATTTATTAGAGAGAGAGAGAGAGAGAGAGAGAGAGAGAGAGAGAGAGAG